GTCGTCCTTGTAATTCTACCAGACACAAAGGACAAAATGGGAATTTTAAAATTATGAAATTCTAAAATTAAATACTCAAAAAATAATTAATTGATAATTAATTATTATTTAAATAATGTGATTATTTAAATTTGAATTTGAATTGTGAACATAATTTAAATTTATCCTTTTAAACTTATTTGATAAGTTGTTCAATTTATAATTCAAATTAATTTAAGTTTGACTTAAATTTGAATTTGAATTAAAATTGGACTACAGGATAAAGGATGATTTCTCTTCATTCCCTATCCAGAATTGGTGCCACACACAAGGGAGAAAAATCCTAGGGTGGCCGGCCACATTAGAGATAAGGTGTAGGAGATTTTTTGTTCTAAATTCAAAATAGGAGATAGAGATATGATTCTTTTTTGAAGTTTGACTTCTACTCTTTAAATATGAGAATGATAGAAAATTGTGAACACAATTTTTGAAACATATTTTCAGCCCTAACTTGCATTGGTGGCCGAAATTCTCATTGAAAAAAAAGAGAGGAAAATTTTTCTCCTAAAAATTCCACATCGTGCATGCGTTGGTGTTTGTGAAAATTCAAGTGTTTTTTTGAAACTTGTTTTGTCCCACGTGTGCCCACACACACGTCTATGTGGAATCAAGGAATTGACGTGGAAGACTTTAGTTTTCTAAACACAAAGAATGGAGCAAGGACTGTTCGTGGTCAAAGAACTCAAGTTATCATCCGAGTGGGCTTCTAGGTATTTTTCCTGATTGAGTTCTTGATATATATAAATTAATGTGATTAATTTATTCGTGCATAAATTAATATAATCTATAGAGTATCTCAAAAAATTTATGAAATTTTTATTATACACGATCCGCCTCTCAGCCACGCTTCCGCATCCGAATTCGATTCAGTTACCAATAGTGATCCTATAACACATTTGAAACCTAAGATTCTCTTATCCAAATCAAAACCTTTATAATAAGAGTAGTTCTAGAAAAAAATTGTGCATTAGGATTATGTACAATTTTAATATAACGTTACCAATTTCTTTGTTCAGTAAAACTTAGTGGTTGATCTAATGTGGCTATTAATCGTGTCATTTCTATACGATCAACTTGCGGATCGTATTTTCACGTGCTTAGACCGTCGGTTTGGCGGTCAAACGATAATTCCGTTTGACGGAGATCAGCTCCGCCTCCTTGCTTTTAAAGACACTTTTCAGAGTGTCTTCTTAAGTGTGTAGTGACGTGAATAGTGTTACCTTGTAATTTCTTACCACAATATTTACATTGAGCTACGTATTTAATGTTACCGTTATTGTCGACCTCCTTGAATGTGTTGAAGTGCTCCCAAACTGCTGAGGTACGCTTGCATTTCTTCTTAGAACTTGCAACACTTGCACTAGCACTACCGCTTGCCTCTCCTCCACGGCCACTTGTGCCACCACCATTACGTCCCCGACCTCTAGTACGTCCACCAAGGGTCGGATTTGCAGTTTCATCAGCAACGTTTTCCATAGTTTGTGATTCCTGCGTTTGAAAAACATTAAGAAATTGCCCTTCTTCGATGTTGAATTGGGCATCAATGGGAATATCACCACCATAACCAAAAGAAGCCATTATGAAAAATAAGAGAGATTGAGAGCGCTTTGAGATAGCTTAAGAGAGATCGAGAGAGATTTAAGCGAGATTAAGAGAGTTTTGAGAGAGATTTGAGAGAGATTAAGAGAAATTGAGAGAGAATGAGAGTTTTTGGGTGAGAAAAATGGTTGGGGAGAGGGGGGATATTTATAAGAAAATTTTTGGGTTGAAAAAAAAAATTTTCCCCTAAAAATTCGGGTCCACGGCTAGTATATTTTCGGGTAGTTCGGACAAAATTCGGGCATGTCGGGCAACAGTAAGAAATCCAACCGTTTGGTTCAAATTTTCAGGCAAAATTCGGGTTCGAGCAAAAAAACCCGTTTTTGTTCAAAATTCGAGATTTTTTCGAGCTAACGGTCAAAAAAATCAAGCATTTTTCAGGCACCGGGCAAAATTTGGGCAACGGTCAAAAAAATTCGGGCAACTTCGGGTATTGCTGGAAAATTCAAAAAAAGTCCGACGAACGGCAGGGGACGACTTCTCCACGGCGGCAGGCTGTCGGGGGGATTAATATTTTCGGGCTGCCCGAGCCCGTACCCGAAAAAAACCGTGGTTGGACAACGAAAGAGCCCTGCCCGCCGTGCCCGAAAATTTTCGGGCACCAGGCATGCCCGCTGCCCAAAGTTGTAGGACTGGTTCTTGTAGTGCCGCTCAACCCATTATAGAAATTATGGACTTGCATCCATTTAGGTAGACCATGATGAGGACATCTTCTCAGTAACTTCTTGTATCTCTCTCATGCTTCATATAGAGTTTCACCTTCATTTTGAGCAAAATTATTGATCTCGATGCGCATCTTGGCTGTTTTAGCCAGTGGGAAAAACTTAGAAAGGAACTTCTGAACTAAGTCCTCCTAACTAGTGATCGAATTTGGCGGCAGTGAATTCAACCAACTTTTTGCTTTATCTCTCAAAGAGAAAGGAAACAAACGAAGGTGAAGAGTTTCATCATTAACTTCATTGTATTTGACAGTATCACAAATCTCTAGAAAATTTACGATGTGAGCATTAGGATCTTCATTCAGTAATCCATTAAATTAGATCGCTTGAATCATCTGCAACATCACCATCTTCAATTCAAAATTATTCGCCTGAATAGCAGGCCTCCTAATCACTGATTGAACACCAGTTGGTGGCAATGCATAATCTCACAAAGTCATTGGTTGATTGACCACCAGTGGATTGTTCAGTGGTATGTTGTTATTCTCATTTATTGCCCCTTCAGAATCAGCCATAGTTTTTTGCGACTGAATGGCAGGATCTCTCTTCTCTTTTCTATTTCTTCGACATGTACGCTCAATTTCTGAAACGAGAGGAAGTAGAATGCTACTCCCAAACTTTCGCACGCACGTAAAGTAAATTCCTGTATAGCACAAAACAAGAACAAGAAAATAAATAACAAAATAAAATTCAAAGTAAAACTAGAGTTATTTGCTATCGATATTAGCAAAAACAATACAATCCCCGGTAACAGCGCCAAAAACTTGTTGAGAAAAATCGTAACGCAAGTATATGCTATCACAATCAAGTAATATAATAGTTAATAAGAGTATCGTCCCACGAGGATTGTTGTTTACAAATTAGCGAAATTATATTAACTCCAATTTTATTTGAATAATCGAAAAGAGAGTTTATAAAATTAAGTAAAGTAAAACTAAAATAATTAAATAAATTAAACAATGCTAAGCAGTGGAATAAAATTCAATAGATTAAGACTCTAGGGTTTCCGATTTCACCAAAATTAATCATGTTCAAATTCTCATAATTTAAGAAAATTAACATTCAATCTTATACTGACAGTAATTTCTCTAAAGCAATTATTATTCTTTCTCAAGCAACAATAATTTTAATCCAACAAGCAAACTCTACATCTCTGTCAGACATCTAAATCTGCTGAAAATCATTAAGTGCAAGAAATTCAAAAAAAACTGCACAAACAGCATAGATATCTCTATCCTATGAACAACTCATGGTATTTTAATTAAGAGTTTATTTAATTATCACCTATCGGTCTCAAATTAAATACAAAATCATGTAATAGTTGGCCAAACAATCACAAGCATTAAGAATAAATTGAAATACTCAGCATATATGGATTAAACATCAATTACTTAAAAAAAAAGATTGAGAATCTGAACATTCATAATTCGGCTATATCGTAGCCCTAGAAAAATAAATTAATTCATCTCTAAACAAAATAAATTCCTAAACAGAGTCTTAATCATTGGAAAGGAAAGAAAAGAACTAGTTTGGAGTTGAATTTAAGTGTCTCTGTCTCTAGATTTTAGCCGTTGTTCTTCTCCGTACTCAATTCTCCTTTTTCTTCTTGAATCTCCTCTCAAAAGTCAGCCGTCACTACAGTCCAAAAGTCCCTTTAATTGTCCTAGAATCATATATTTATATGTTTTGGAGCATTAGGGTCAAAACGGGTAAGTTTTCTCACGATTTACCTTGAAAACGTGTCTTTTCTCGTGTCGTAGCGCCACGGCGCTGAGTTCCTAGCGATGCGGCGCTGGCTGTGCAAAAATCAGCGCCAATCGTCAATTTTTAGAGCGCTGCAGCACTGTCATGGGCGCCAAAACGCTACCCATTCTGTCCAAATATACTGGTTCCGTAAAACTCAGTGCCAAAACGCTGCAAATTGGTGCCTAAATGCTGTGTTTGCTATCTTTTTTTCACCACAAGTTGTCCAAAACTTTTCAAATCATAGACTTTCACCTAACCTTCAAACAAATAACAAAAACACACATGAAAGAGACAGAATCATACTTCTGAAAATATAATTCTCAGATATTAAGTGTAAAATGATACTAAATGAGAGAGTAAAATTATACTTTTTGTTTCGTAAGATAGATTTCTAAAGTTGGAATAGAACTAAGAGGACGTTTGATTGGATGATTCAAACCATGTGATTCGAACCATTTTCGATTTACGTGAATTTTTTATGAGAGAAAATATTGTAGCGAATCATGAATCATGATTCGAATCAGGGAACGAATCCCTCCACCAAACATCCCCTAAAAAAGAGAGAGAATCATGAAGAAGCATATCTTGTGTAGAAAATATTTTTCGTATGATGGCTTCACCAGCTCAAAAAATCGCGGTGGTGGAATTGTATGTGTTCGGTTTAGCTTTGGTACGTTCGTGGGTTCGAAGATTCCTAAAGATTCTGAGATTTCGGATGCCGAAGATTTGGAGGTTTCTTGCGTAATTAAAGACAAGAACTTTCTACATAAGAGCCACGAAAATTCCGGAGCTGGGCCACCTCTTTACAATAGGTTGCTGAAGAGATGTACTGAAATGCGAAAGCTGAGAGAAGGAAAAATGGTCCATGCCCATTTTTTGAATTCCCAATTCAGAGATGACCCTGTTATTGGGAACACTATACTAAACATGTATGCGAAATGTGGCAGTCTTGCGGATGCTCGTAAGTTGTTCGATGAAATGCCTCTGAAGGATATTGTGACTTGGACTGCCTTGATCAGTGGCTATTCTCAGCATGATCAAGCTGAGGAAGCGCTTGCTTTGTTTCCGCTGATGCTACGGCGTGGATTGGAGCCGAACCAGTTCACTCTCTCCAGCTTGTTGAAGGCTTCTGGAGATGGAACGACCAATAAGCGCGGTAGACAACTTCACGCTTATTGTTTGAAGTGTGGTTATGATTCTGATGTTTATGTGGGAAGTTCTCTTGTTGACATGTATGCCAGGTATGGGCATTTAGTTGAAGCTCGGTTGATCTTTGATGGTCTGGTGACCAAGAATGAGGTGTCTTGGAATGCTTTGATTGCTGGGCATTCCAGGAAAGGTGAAACGGAGAACGCCCTTAGGTTGTTCTCAATGATGCATAGGGAAGATTTTAAGCCTACTCATTTTACGTTTTCGAGTTTGTGCACTGCTTGTGCGAGTACGGGATCTCTAGAGCAGGGCAAGTGGGTTCATGCACAAGTGATCAAGTCTGGTGGTAGACTTGTTGCTTTTGTTGGAAACACGCTTCTTGACATGTACGCAAAATCAGGTAGCATCGAGGATGCCAAAAAAGTTTTTGATAGGTTGGTCAAGCGAGACGTAGTTTCTTGGAACTCGATGCTTAACGGTTATGCCAGGAAAGGTGAAACAGAGAACGCCCTTAGGTTGTTCTCAATGATGCATAGGGAAGATTTTAAGCCTACTGATTTTACGTATTCGAGTTTGTGCACTGCTTGTGCAAGTACGGGATCTCTAGAGCAGGGCAAGTGGGTTCATGCACATGTGATCAAGTCTGGTGGTAGACTTGTTGCTTTTGTTGGAAACACGCTTCTTGACATGTATGCAAAATCCGGTAGCATCGAGGATGCCAAAAAAGTTTTTGATAGGTTGGTCAAGCGAGACGTAGTTTCTTGGAACTCGATGCTTAGGGGTTATGCCCAACATGGACTCGGAAGGAAAACAGTGCAGCATTTTGAAGAAATGATGACGAGTGGAATTGAACCGATTAGCGTAACCTTCCTTTCTGTTCTGACCGCTTGTAGCCATGCTGGACTTTTGGATGAAGGACGACACTATTTTGAATTGATGAAGAAGTACAAGGTAGAGCCAGATGTTTTACATTACGTGACAATGGTCGATCTTCTTGGTCGTGCAGGTCTACTTGATCAAGCTGAGAGGTACATAAGAGAGATGCCTATTGAACCCAGTGCAGCTGTATGGGGAGCCTTGCTTGGTGCTTGCAGGATGCACAAGAATATGGAGTTGGGAGCATATGCTGCTGAACGTGTTTTTGAGCTAGACCCTCAAGATTCGGGCCCCCATATATTGCTCTATAATATGTATGCCTCCGCTGGTAGATGGCAAGAAGCTGCAAAAGTGAGAAAGATGATGAAAGAGAGTGGAGTTAAAAAGGAACCCGCTTGTAGTTGGGTGGAAATCGAGAATGCGGTCCACATGTTTATTGCAAATGATGATGCTCATCCACAGTGGCAAGAGATCCGCGAGATGTGGGAGAAGATAAGCGGAAAGATTAGAGAGATTGGATATGTCCCGGATACAAGTCATGTGCTTTTGTTTGTGGACCAGCAGGAAAGGGAAGTAAAGTTGCAGTATCATAGCGAGAAACTTGCTCTGGCATTTGCTCTCCTAAACACCCCTTTAGGATCCACCATACGGATCAAGAAGAACATAAGGGTTTGTGGGGATTGTCACTCTGCAATCAAGTATGTCTCAAAGGTGGTAGGCAGAGAAATCATAGTGAGAGATACCAATCGTTTTCATCACTTCCACAACGGCTCTTGTTCATGTGGAGACTATTGGTAGTGATGATTTTTCAGTGCCTAATTAGTCAGATTAGTCTGAAGGATGATTAGCATTTGGAATGGATTTTAATCCACTCGATTCAAGTCCAACTTGGCCCGAGCTGTTATTATGTTACACCCCGATTTCAAACAACAGTTTCTTCACCTCTTTAACTTTGAAAAAGGAATACGGGGCTTGAGTGCACAATGAATAATTGACACCAAGTATGCCTTTTGTGAGCAAAGTTCATGACAAACCGCATTCTGATGAGATGCGACAGCTATGGTGTGTAGAGTCATGAACAATGGGGAATATGGGAGTTGAAATATTCTCAATTGTAAAAGTGGAAAAAAGACGTGATATGAACATTAGATGAGAGAACAAGTAAAATCATCAACAAGAAAAGCTGAGCTCAGGTGCGTGTAACCCTTATCTCTTGAAGATTACACCAAAAATGGAGGACGTTATTCCTCAAAAACAGAAAATTGTAAGAAAAAACCGTATCACATGTTGTGGCCATTTTAGGTAGATAAGGATAGTCATCGCGTCCACAAATTGTATGAAAATTATTTTTTTCCTTTTTTTGAAAGATTAAATCTTTTTTTCCTTTTTTAAATTAGAGCAAATCCCCTTTTTTTTTTATGCCTTCCCTTAAAGCAATACATACAATTCCAATTTGCGAAACCACAAAACCCGAAATGTTGTCTCTATTCTTTTTTTCTATATCAAATTCCATGTTGGAGCAGAGATAATTTTCTCACTGTCGTGTTGAAATTCCCCAAAAATTCACATCTTTTTAATATGGGGAGCTTTAGGAAATGTGGTGAGAAGAACGCGACAGAATAGGAAAGGAGTGCGGGAGAAGTGTTGGACTTTGGTAGGTGTCATAACGGTGAAGATTTGGCAAATTTGAGACAAAATCAAAACAGAGAAAAAAAGATGGAAAATCTGCTCATATGCCTAATGGCTTTTGCTTGTGGGACTTTTGGAACTAAAAAGAGGGAGAGAAAGAGAGGAGGAGAGAGAAAGGAACGCAAGAAAAGGAACTAACCAAACTCATCGGTTTCATTTGATTTTGGCTTTGGAGAGAGAGAGAGAGAGAGAAGAACGGGTGAAAAGCGTGAGACAACACTGTGTGGTCGAAGACGGTTTAGCTTAAAATGGCGTAGCGTGTGAGAAAAGCACTATTCTAAATCACATAAATAATAATGATAACAACAATATAATCATCACCATCATTCTTCAGCAAACATTACAACAATCAAAAACAGCTTCACATTTACATACACAGTCCCTTCTTCTCTTGCCGTTCCCTCTCTCTCTCTCTCTCTCATACAACAGGTCTGCAAAAATCTCAAACTTGCATTAAGGGAAAACAAAGAAAAATACCCATTTCATATAATTCCATGCAGATTTCTTCTTGTATTGAAACGTTCGATATTTAGCAATATCTTATTTGCTCTCATTTTGCATGATTGCATAAGGATTTCTTGCAAGTATGAGTTATTTCTCATTTAATTTTCTTGCATACACACTTTTTTTTTCCCTTTCAGATACATAGTTTCTACAAAGTATTGTTCTGTTTTGGTAGATATATTTCATGTTTTATGTATATTGATTGCTTGAATGTGTTTTTGCCCATTATTTGAAATACTAAAATGACAAAATCATTCTCGCATTTTTCAATATGCATGAAAGTCTGTACTCTTTGATGTTATGCGTGTGCATGAAAATGAAAAGAATATGTAATTTAATTCTTCCCTTTTTCTAGCAGAATTAGAGGTTTTCGTGAAATGGATCAAGACCGGAAGAACAAGAAGAGAACAAGAGATCAAGGAGAAGAACAAGGCATGAAACATTTATCGGAGAAGAAGCGCGCCAAGTTCAGGCAAGAGCAACAAGGTTACACCAATGATATCATGAGTAGTACTAGTACTAGTTATGGCTCGCCGGAACATGATTCAGGCGCGGCAGAAGCACAGGGAGTGTTCGATTTCCCATGGCTGAAAGACGGCGTCGTTGCAAAGTACTCCGACGAGTGGAAGTTCGAAGAATTAGAAGACGTGTTCACGTCACAGCTAAGCAGCGAGATCTCAACCACCACCACCACCACCATAACCACCCATGCTGGCATACAGTTGTCTTTCCCGGGACAATGCTTGTGTCAAACCCCAGTTGAGGCAGTGCTAGAATTTCCTGATGAAAAGTTTGATGAGGAAAAAGAGTGTCCATTGCTTTCAGATTATGCCTTTGATACCACAGAAAGTTTGGATTGCATTTGGGGCGCCTTGTAGTCCTAGTAGAAGAACAAAAATGGTCATTGGGACGCACAAGAACTTAATATAGAGCCAGAACTGGCTATAAACTTATTGAGCAATTTAATGTGTTACAATAAGTTCTAAAACCGTTGTTGCAATGTAGCAGTGTGGCCCATTTTGTGACAGAAAAAATCAAAAAATAAAATAAAATAAAATCTGAGAATGGCAACAGTACACTAAAGTCAAGACAAGTTATTTGCACTGTTGGGGACTACTTGGCATACTGTTATGTTTTGTTATGTTTGTGTATATATAAAGGTACGCCTTCCATTTGTTACTCATTTTATGTTCTCACCATTTTCATTTACATGTATTCTTTGATTGTTACTAGTTTGTTGTTATTTTAAGCCAATATTTCGCAATAAACTTGAAAGGTTGCGGTGATTAGCTTGCTAATGAAATATATATATTTACATATATATATATATATAGATATATCACATTGGAAGGAGAAAAGTCTCTTCCACTTCTCAAAAGCGATGGTCATGATTTTGATCGCAATCAAACAATTATGTGGGACTAACTCATTCATATGCCGATGTTAATTGCTTTATTTGTACGGGGACAAATTAGTACAGTGTTAATTAATAATTAGTCGGGTAATAGAAACAGAAAGTTGACAACCACTAAAGTAGACAGATCAAAAGCTTGCATCAGGACTTTCACCTATTAAGCATGGATTGAAGCAGTGATTTTCTATCATAGTACATGTCTTGCTCTACCTTAGCTTAAAAGTGTGTTGTTTTTGTAATTTAAGAAAATTAAATTTAAATTTTTATGAGAGAAAATAATATAACAAAAAAATTTAAATTGTGATTTGAGTTGTAAAAAAAAATAAACTCATTAAACGGAGAGATATATGCTTTGCATGATAAAAAAAAAAAAAAAGCAACAAATTTCTGTGTGAATTAATGAGTTCAGACAACAAGATCAGAGTTAAGTTCCTACAATGCTCTGTTTTTTTTTTTTTTTTTAAAGATGCTTTTCATTAGTTTCTAAGAAGTGGATGTCTCAATTTGCAAATGCAACACTCCGATGACCACAGAAGAGATTCTTCAAAATATTACGAGTTTGTTGTTCCCGTGCAGTGACTTTTTATTTGTTTATTTGTTTTATTGGGACTCCATCAAAGGAACTGAACCCCACCCATATCCATATGAGGAATTCCAGTTTTCTCTGCAGAAAAGAGGACTCTTGCCAATGGGGTTCAACACTGAAAGAGTGAAAGTCAGTTTGCCGAACAGTTTCTTGAGACATGCCATTTTATTTATCCTTTCAAACTACGAGCTTTCTTGTAACACTCTGAAAAATTAAACGAGATTAATTAAAAAAATTAAGATTTATTAGTATGCATAATCTGATTTAATTAATTGATTAACAAATGTTTCTGACGTGTAAATTTAAATAATTTTAAGGTATTTAAATATTCTCAGTAATTACATTTTTACTCAGAAATGTGTGTGAACATATTTTCTAGACTGTCATTTTAAATATTGAACACATACATTTTCATTTTCTTTTCCTTTCTTTCCTTTCCTTCCCGAGCACTCTCTCTCTCTTCCTCACTCTCACTCTCGTTCTCTCTCTCCTCTCATTTTTGACACAAAGCCAACCAAATCTCGAACCAAATAAGAATTTCAAGAATTTTTTAACGTGAATAGAAAGATTTGAGGTAAGATTTCTGAAAACCTCTCTTGAATCTCAAGTTTTTCGGATTTAAAAACTTATTTTTTGTTCAAATGGATTTTGAGTAAAACCATGGTAAAAATTAGAGATCTTGAGTTCTTTTGACTTTATTTAGTACTTAGAACCCGGATCTAGTGGTTTTCCTTTGAGATATTTCGATTTGGAACTGAAATTACAAGTTTTTGGGCTGATTTTGCGGTTTTTTCTCACCCTGCTGTAATTCACAAGTCGACCTGTGCGGTCGATCGGACTGCACTGAGTCCACTGGCCGACCCATGCGGTCGACCGAATTGCACACCACCAGTCGACCAGTGGTGTTGCATTGCTCTGTCACCGGTCGACCGGTGTACACAGAGTTTGACCATGTTTTATTGAAAAATTCTGTTTTGACCTTGGTTTTCGAGGAGAACCCAAATGAGCTTCATTTGGGAACCTAGAATGAATGGATTAGCTTCTTTAATCAATGTGTTTGAGATTGAAAACCCTTAGAATGATGATTTGAAACATGAAATGGTTTGTGAAACCGGTAATTGAATTATGACACACTAATAGAAAATCAAAGCGTATAATTGGTATTGAATTGCTTTAAGAATGAGAATTAGATCCTAAAGTGTGGTTTTGTATAAGTGCTAACTGAGGACTCGGATTGAGGGGCTTTAAGGAAGCGAAAGCCGGAATAGTGTAACACTAGCTAGCTTTAGTACTTGTGAGGTAGGATATCTTACCATTTCCTTTGTGAGCATGTTTTCAAAAGAATTTTGGCCTTGCAAATGTTTTAAAGAAATGACATGTTTGCGAAAGAAAGAAAAACATTTTAACCCCCATGGCTTGTTGTAGTTATGGGGAGTATAATGAACTGTTTCATAAAGTTTAATGAATGATTTCTTAATATAAGAGGTCTTGCAAATCGGTAAATCGGCTGATGGCCTAGATAGGATGTGGAGAGTGCATCCTTAGAGGTAGGATCCGAAACCCGGCCCGAAGTGATATGGTTTGTGGATGTGGTTGTATAAGTAATTTATCATAGTATAAATTACTTGCTGATGCCTGTAATACGGAGATTTTCAGTTATATTTCATTTGAGAAAAAGGATGTGAGGTTCTGGCTGTTGTGTTGGAACTGAATGTTTATATTTATTCATTTACTTATATTATTTACTTGCTTGTTTACTCATTTATTTACTTATTTACAAAGTTATTTCAAAATATATCATACTTGACATTTTGCTCACGTTTTACATGTTTTATAAATATTAAACCCCTCCCAGGCAACTCGAGGAGCAATGCGGAGTAGCTGAGTGAGTTACTACCACCGGATTTGGTGAGGATTGTGATCATCCTCCCTGTGTACGAATGTATGAATTTGTAAATTCTATAAACTCTTATATTTAGATTTTTAAACTGTGGTTGATGTCTGTAATGTTATTTGTGTGTTCATATATATACAATACTGCATATCATGTGAGTGAAGTCTTAAACGATGTCAAAGGCTTAATTATAAACCTCTTGTATTTAGTAATTTATTTCTAATAAAATGTGTGGCTCATTTAAAATTTTTTTTAATATTTTAATCTCAATCGCGTTTAACTCTTAATTGAACCTTCACGTCACATACCCGAACTGCAGGACGTGACATTTTTACTTTACTTGTTGACGGTACATATTTCTAAAGGTTAATTAATATCAAATTAAAATAGAATAAATATGTAAAACTGACCGATTCTAGCACAGATATAATGTCAAAAAAAAAAAAACACGCTACCAATTGGTTTACAATGGAATTCTCATTCAAACTATTACAAGATATAGAGAGATCAGTACAGTTAAAATGAAAAATGTCCATTGGGTCTTTGTTTTTTGATAGATCAAAGAGCTTACTCGTTTTTTTTATTTTTTTTTATTTTTTAATGAACTATGAAAATGGCATTATGGCAACAGACAATGCTTGATGAAGTTGGGGCCTTTGGTAGATGGGATGGGAGGGCTGGTGTCTGCAATAAAGATTTCTGGTCAGAATTAGGACCCACCTTGTCATTCAGCCGTGCTTCAAAATCTTTGCTGAAAGAAAATGAAATCAAGAGCAAGATCCGCAAAGTGTGTCCTTATTTTTGTTTACGTCAATTTATTTCATCGATTTAAATTTAAAATTTAAATTTTATTATAATAAAAAATTTTAAGAAATAATTACATTTAATTTTTTTATTATAATAAAAAATTTATATAAAATCACATTTTAATTTAAATTAAAAATTTAAATTAACAAACTAAACGATCCTTAGTTTTTTATCTCATTATTTTGACAAAATCAGAATCTAATGCCTATCTAATACCACATCAGTTCACCAGAGGGGGAAAAAAAGAAAAAGGTACTTTGGTGCATTGGAAATAGTCCATTTTGGTTCCTTTTACCTTTCGCATTAACATGATCAAACATGTCTGTAAAGACAAACATGGGATTGCAGAATAAAAGGAGATTCATGCTGAGAAAGTAACATGTTTTTTAAAGCAAGTTCAATTACACTATTAAGAGACAAGGCTCCGAATCCCATTTCCTGTTCTTTACCTAGTTAAATGTACTGAATGGTTGCTTTCTTGGCCATTTTTTCCTCGCAACAAAAGTGAAAAACAGGAAATTATTATATTTGAGACAAATGAGCCAAGCCAAAAAAGAAAAGGACGAAATTTTTTTATTTTTTTTTTTTATTTTTTAATAATGGCAGTAATGAAAATGGTCCTAGCAGAGATGTTTGTGGGGCATCTGCTTCCTCTGCCGACACTAATGTCAATTTGTGGTGCTGAATTTGCAAAGACCCGTTAAAGTTCTCATTAATAACATCTAACATATTATTGTAATTTGGTAATTAGTAGTTTGTATTGTACGGATATTTAATTTAATCAATTATATCCAACAAATGCCACAACAAAACAACAACTTGCACGATTATGGTGTTTGATTAAACAAACAACAATCAATTTTTTTTTTTTTTAAAGTTGCGTGAATTAGTAAAGGAAAAAGGAGTTGTGCTTTATTTGGTATGGGTGATGAAATGTTAAACAAACGATAATGGATGGCAGCTAAGATGAGAATAGTATTATAATAACGTATAATTAATTATTATTACAAAAATTGTGAGGAACCCGGTTAATATTATTCATTTCACAACTCAAGTTAAAATTTAAATTTTATTATTATATACATTCAAATTTTATTATAATAAAAAATTTTCAGAAACAGTCACATCACATAAAGGTCTTGTTCATTTCACCGATTTGAATTTTACTACAGTACAAATTTTTCAGAAACAGTCACATCTAATTTTTTTGTTATATTAAAAAACTCTCATATAAAGTCACATCTAAACTCAAATTAACGAATTAAATGGACCTAAAATCACATCTTAATTTAAATTAACACACTAAACATGCTCATAATTTTTTTAATAAAAAATTAAATTAAAATTTTTTATTATAATATTTTTTTTTTACATACACAACTTAAATTATTTAAAAGACGTGAAATAAACATGCTCTGTGATCAGTGTTCAGGTAAAAAAAGGGTGAAAAAAACTGGTAAATTTTGTTTTGCTGGTTTAATAACACCACAATAAATTTGAAAAAGAAAATTTGTGGGTAATTAATTGTTGATAATAATGACGTCAGTTGGCAAAGTGACTCGTGAATCAACTGATACAGCCTCTGGTCTCTGTTGAATCAGTAGTTTGAGGGAATCAATCGACGGTGACCGAAGAAGTTGCAAATATTGAGACAGAAAAGTGCCAAATAAATATTAAATTGATTAAAAAAAAACAACATAATGGAACCGTTGGAGATGCTTGTGAAGTGTGAGGTGGGAAGATAAAAATTAAAAAGACAAAAACAAAAACAAAAAAAGACGCGTCAATCACGCGTGTGGTGAAGTCTTACCACTTTACGTGCGTGGCTGGCAACTGGAAACTGGAAACTGGAAAGTGGGCCGGCTCTTGAGCCGTCACGTGCGGTTGACGCGTTCCTCACCCGCGTAATACTAACACATATTTGTTCTCGCCCCTCTCGAGGGCCTTTTTTTTTTTTTTTCACTTTTTCAGTTTTTTCTTCCCTGGCGAGAATTTAACGGAAGATAATATGGATTAGTAGGAAAGTAAAAGCCTTGATCTTGATCGTAAGACAGACATTATTACTAAAATAAGATTTTAAGGTTACTTTTTATTTTCATTAAAACAAGGCTAAGCAAGGATAAGGCTCTCTCTCTCTCTCTGTAACACACACTCATTCTGTCTGTCGTATTTATCGTGATCGCCGACTTTCCTGCATTTTGCTCTCTCTCTCTCTCTCTCTCTCTCTCTCTCTCTCTTCGCCTCTGGTGATCTTCGAGTTCTCGTTCTCATTTTCTTTCTTCCTCTATAGTACTTTCCACGTCTTTCTCGTTAGCCAAGCATTGTTTTTTTTTTTGGAATATTTTGTGTTTGGGTTTTGAATACCAAAATGTGAGATTCGTGAAAAGCATTAATGTGGTTGGGAAAAGCTTTGATCTGAAAGATTTGTTTGTGATCGAGAAAGTTGTTTTTCTCTTTTTCGCTTTTGAGAGCGGTTTATTTCTCTTTAATCGGTCTGTCGGAGGCTCCTCCGTTCGTCGGAATCGAAGCCTGGTCGGCTAGGTTTTTTTTTTAATTGAGATTTTGGGGAAAAAATTAGGAAAGATGATGGTGAGGAATGTGGTGATTGGAATGCTGTTCGTCACTGTGATTGCTCCCATTGTTCTTTACACCGATCGACTCGGAACCTTCCAGAGCTACTCTGCCTGTAAGTTCCCTAATTCTGATTTTTTTTTCCTTTTCTTTAATGTATTACTTTCCCTTTTTGTTTATCGAATTTGGCTTCATTTCTTGCAGCTACGAACGAATTTGTTGAAGATGTTACGACTGTCGTAAGTGATAAAAATGTTGTTTTGCATTTTTGTTTTTTCGAATATTTTTTTTCCTGTAAATTTTCAAACTTTTGGGGTTTTTATTCTTCGACCCAGGCTTTTAATGGCGATAGTGGCCGTCTAAATCTGCTTCCTCAGGTTAATACATCTCTTTTCCCCCCATTTTTATATTCTTCGTTTATTATAAATTTGGCTACTTTCAGTAAAAATTGGAGATTTTTTTATTTACGAATGCCCAAAATTGGAATACAGGAACCTTCCACTAAGATCAAAGAACCGATTGGAATCGTGTATTCCGACAATTCGAATCAATCTCTTCCGAATTCCGGTGATGCCGTGAAGGAGAGCTCCACCGACACTAGCAACTCCGAACAAGGTACTGTTTTTCTGCTGCTTTGTCTTAATTGAGCTTTTTCATTGTTTGTTTGATCGGAAGTGAAAGTTGTATTTATTAATTATTCGTTAATGTGGTTGCGGTTAATTAGATTGGCAATTGGGGGATTCGATGGAACATGTTTCGGCTAGGGTACTGTCTACCACAAACGATGAAAATAATTCTCGAAAAGAAAACGCTATCAGAGAAGTCACTGATAGGGATCAGGAAGGAGATCAGGAGACACTTGATATTGTGGACGGTGAAGGAGAAACCAAGGGCGAGGCAATAGATGCAGAAGTGAAAGAAATTCAGCAAAAAGTCGATGATGGCTCTGGAGATACGGTACTAAATTTTTATTACGTTTTCTGTGTATGTAGGTTGTTGCACGATTTCATGATGCACAATCAAGATAAACGCTTGATTTCTACGCGTATACCAGAAAGTGTTTTGTAGCACCGTTTTAGTTTGGAAATACCCCTCTCTTGCGTCCTATGGGGAGTTTAGTTATGGTCATGGTTAATTGGTTAACGTCTTTGTGGTAATTTGTTGTATTTAGTTGTACCTACTTGACTCATTTCTGTGTGTGAAGTAGTCATGATGATTGTCCGTATATTGCTAATTATGATGGATTAAAGGAGAATTGAATTTATGGTTAGATTTTAAATTATTTCCGACCTTTTTCTCCTTGGAATTATGAGAACTGTTTGCGAGGATGTTCTTTCTATTCTTTTGTTATTGCATTTCGTTTCTCATTGTTTTCTCCGCTTTCAGGAAGTGAAGCCTGAACAAACCACTGAAACCTCCAGCAGAGTGGACAAGAGGGAACCTAGAAAAACTAGACCTGAGAAACAGAATGATCGGACAGTTATTCCCGATGCTCGTGTACGGCATCTCAAAGATCAGCTTGTCAGGGCAAGAGTATACCTTTCCCTTCCTGCCACAAGAAACAATCCCCATTTTACGAGGGAGCTTCGAGTGCGAATGAAGGAGGTTCAGCGAGCACTTGGTGACGCAAGCAAGGATTCTGAGCTGCCAAGGAAGTATGTGGTCTTTAGAAATATTTATATTGCGTGTTGACTGAAGTTTATTTCATCGTGCACATGCATATTAGTGATCATGTTTCCCTGCATTTTTTACCCGGAAAGTTTTCCTGCATGTTATACATCTAGTAACTTCCATAACCATTCGATTATGACTATCAAGTCCTGTTTTTTTTGGTTCCTTTTTCTACTGTTATATGTTTTTGTGATGAATTTATGGTTGGTGTTTTTTGCAGTGCTTATGACAGGTTGAAGGCGATGGAGCAGTCATTGGCTAAAGGAAAGCAAATTCAAGATGACTGTGCTGCTGCAGTGAAGAAGCTTCGGGCAATGCTTCATTCCACAGAGGAGCAACTCCGAGTGCACAAAAAGCAGACTTTGTTCTTGACACAATTGACTGCGAAAACGCTCCCCAAAGGTCTTCATTGTCTTCCCTTGCGGCTTACTACTGAATACTATTCCTTGAATTATTCTGAGCAGCACTTTCCAAATGAAGATAAATTGGAAGATCCCCAGCTGTACCATTATGCACTATTTTCAGATAATGTATTAGCAGCAGCTGTTGTTGTTAACTCAACCATTACACATGCTAAGGTATGGCACATCCTAAGATCCTCAAATTCTTATTATTTTCTCTGCTTTCCCAAGTTTCTTATTATCCCAAAAATAAAGGAGAAAAACACAGCTTTACATTAATCCAGTGTGCATAATTTTGATACTAAGGCCTTTGTTTTCGATTGACAATCTTCTTACACTGCATGTGATCTTGACAGGATCCTTCGAAGCATGTGTTCCACATTGTCACTGACAGACTCAACTATGCAGCTATGAGAATGTGGTTCTTGGTAAATCCCCCTGGAAAAGCCACTGTCCAAGTTCAAAACATTGAAGAATTTACATGGTTGAACTCAAGCTATAGTCCAGTTCTGAAGCAATTGGGTTCACAGTCAATGATCAATTATTACTTCAGGACTCACCGGGCCAGTTCTGATTCAAATTTGAAGTTCCGGAACCCAAAATATTTATCTATCCTCAACCACCTGCGCTTTTACCTACCACAAATCTTCCCAAAACTTGACAAGGTGCTCTTCGTGGATGATGATATAGTTGTGCAGAAGGATCTCACTGCCCTTTGGTCACTTGATTTGAAGGGAAATGTTAATGGTGCTGTAGAGACTTGTGGAGAAAGCTTTCATCGCTTTGATCGGTACCTCAACTTTTCAAACCCTCTGATATCAAAGAACTTTGACCCTCGCGCTTGTGGATGGGCATATGGAATGAATATCTTTGATTTGAAGGAATGGAAGAGGCAACAAATCACGGATGTGTATCATTCATGGCAGAAGCTTGTAAGAAATAATCAGTCTCTGAAGCAGTTCTCATGACCACTAAGTGGATTCTTTGATTGTACATATTGTTAATTTGACTGGATTTATATTATCTAATTTATGATCTTTTTTTTGGTGTCCAGAATCATGACAGGCAATTATGGAAGTTGGGAACCCTGCCGCCTGGTCTAATAACGTTTTGGAAACGTACTTATCCACTTGACAGATCATGGCATGTACTGGGTCTGGGATACAACCCTAACGTAGGCCAGAAGGACATTGAACGAGCAGCCGTTATACACTACAATGGTAACATGAAACCGTGGCTCGAGATAGGCATACCTAAGTACCGTAACTACTGGGCGAAGTATGTTGATTACGATCAATTGTATCTGCGAGAGTGCAATCTCAATCCATAGTTGAAGCCTTCTACGTTTATATTTAATCTTCGGAAAGTGAAAGTGTTCTGCAGATATCTGCCAGGCCATATAATTTTACAGGTCTGCATCTTTTCTGTGTAGGCAATTTTGATTCAAAGCAACAACAGCCTCTAATTTGATTCTTTTTGTATACATTTTTCCTCTTCTTTTATTTGTCTCAATTAGGCTTGGAATGTTTCCTTGTTTACTTGTATGCAGAATCTGACATGTATTTGTAAATAATGGGAGCCTTTGTTTGCCATTTATAATTAGTGCATGTCTTTTTCCTTGCAGTGGTGTATCATGTATCTATACATATTTCTGAATGAGTTCTTATTCTCAATAACGGACCGGGTTAAAGTCTGCTTATTTTCTCATCTTTCATGCTTAAGAGTTGGGGTAAATGTTTTTGGTGTTCATGAATACCCGGATTTTACTAATTTGATATAGGGCGGGCGATTTTAAAGTGGACTCCCCATTTATCTATAGAAGATTGAACTGTAAAGTATAAACTTATATCTTATTCAGCAAATGGCATTCTAGACAAACGACACATTTGTAAGATTCCATAAGTAGATCTCTCTCTTTCACTTAACAATTATAGAATGAGATTTGCTCTCATGGTTGGGCAGAGTTATCCTGTTTTTGGATTGAGAGGCTGTTATGGGAGCTGCATGATTGCATTGTATGGTATAGCCAGGGGACCGCATAGACAGGCTGGCTAGCAGTTGGCATGCTGATCGTCTGAATTGGTTGTACTTTGAATAATATAATGGTCTTTTATATTTATCTTTTTCTCGAAAATGACTTAGAAACCCATACAGAGCATGTTTAGTTTGTATATTTTAGTTTTTACAGCGTGAGATCCGCGCGTTGTTACGGAATGCAGTATTATATTATATAATAGTTGTATTTAAAATATATTTATATATATACATGTATTATACAGTATTGTATTATATGATAGATATAAAATTTATACAAACATATTTATAGACATATATAGTGTTATTATTTATAATATTTATATATATACAGAATGTACAGAATAAAAAATAACGCTGTTGTGGTCCCTGAGCATTTCATTTCTTTCAGCTGCAAGTATAAAAATGGGAAAAATAGTTGTAAATATAAGTGTTTAAGATAAATAAAGATGGTTAAATTATATAGTATGAAATAAATATTATAAAAATATTTATATTACTTTGTTCTTGGGCGTTTTGTAGATTGTCTTGTTGTTCTTGATTCAGGACTGAAAAAATAGAATAATTTGTAGATATGTTTTTAAATAAATTGATAATTTTTGTTGTGTTGAATGTGGTTTACCTTGTGCCAGGTTTTTTTGGTGTTGGAGTGTGTTGATCAAATGTGGTTGGTGTTGATAGCTGCGATGATGGTATTGTCTGTGGGCTGAAAGATGAGAAGATTTTTAAAATTGTGATTAATATAATATAAATGTTATTTATATATAGTTGGTAAAAAAAATTTAAAGACATTATTTACCTTTGTGGTTCTTCTGTTCCTGTAGTTAACTGTTTTGATGGCGATGATGGAACATGGATGTCTTCAAATATTTTAGAAATTAATGTCCTCATTTAGGTGTCTCATTGTTGAAAGAAGACTTGGAAGATTTTTGATTGTCCTCGGATCTAATCGATAGCTGGTGGTATTATAAATGGATCGGTAAAGCCTTCGTCAATTGTTAGTGTAGAACATGGTTTTTTTATTAATGCCTGAGCGGTTCTGTCAAAAGCGATAATTTCTATATCTCTAGTATGATCTTCAATTTGAATTGTTAATCTGTACCTGTAACATACACATATATTTTTTAATATTATTAATTTTTTGTTAAAGTAAATAAACATATATAATAAATAAAAATGGTACGATAATAAATTTAATTACCATGGAGATGGCGTTGACTTTATATGGCCATGATTGTCGCACCACCAACCTATTCTTGCTTGTTTTAATTGTCGATAACATCTGGGGCAAGAATTGTAGAACCATCATTGAGATGTTGAAAAGTTTACTATGGTCGCTCTTACAGTGAATTTGTCACCCTGCATAAAAGATAGAATATTGTGGTTTTAAATTGTTTACTAAGTGTAGTAAAAAACTGATAAGAAAGTTAATAGTACTAACCAGATTATTTTGTGCATCCAATGTTTTGAGTTCGTTTATTGTTTTTCTGTTTGCTGATATTTGTTCTTCAATTGTTTGGACGGGTGTTTTTGGGGGTGGTAGGAATTCAATTTGTTGATTTTGATGGAAAAATCTGTATGTATAAAAATATGAATAAGTTAAGGAAAATATAAATAAAATGTATGATTATCTAATATGATAAATTTATTAGAATATATTTTTTATATATGTGTGTTTACCTTGTCTTTAATGTTGTTGTTTCTGAGATATCTGGATCAATATAGAAGATTGTTGCTGATGTACTTGAAACATATGAGTTACCTTGAAATATAACAGAGTAAATAATAAATGTATGCTATATTATTTTATATATGTATATAAAAACGTTATAATAAAGTAATGTTAAAAATACCTAGATACTGATTTGTTAACATTGCCGAGAAAACAACCACAATTGGTGCCTTCAGTGTTTTAAGTACATTCTCATCAAATTGATCGGCTTTATGTCCCCATAGGCTTACCTGTAGTTGTTCATTTCTGTAGAAAGAATGTAGTTTATAAAAATGAATAATAAAATTGAATGATAAAAGTGAGAAAATATTATATTCATGTTAAATAGTTGTAATGAATAGTAAATGTGAGGGAAAAGAGCATGAAATTATTGTACCTGATGTTTTGTATCGTTATGGATCGCCATGTTGTTGGTCTAGTGCTGACACACTTGTTAATACTCCAATAACATCTAATATTATATATAAACAGGGAAATTTTGTAAATAAATATTCAAGAAATATTTATAATAATAATAAAATAAGTTAAGTAAGATATTACCTGTTAATATCTCAGTATTATTTATTCTTTGATATAGCTGGTCGAATTCTATGAAGTAGAATTTGTGAAATGGGATGTGTGGTGCGTCTTCCATAATTAGAGTAAAGGATGTTGCTCGTGCAAATTAGATCATAGCACTGTGTGGAACGACTTTGTATGTTGGTTTATTTTCAGTAACATAGAAGTTACTAATATTGTATATATTGCCTTGTTCAATTTTTTGAAAAATATAGTCCGAATCTCGGCTCGAATTGTTCCCTGTATTGCTTCATGCTGTAAATAAATAATAAGAATAGAAATTTATTCAATATTAACAAATATTATATAAAATAATATCTAATATAATATTTTAAAATTTTAGTACCTCTTCATCAACCAGGATACAGTCAAAGCTTATCAGGCGTCCTGTGACAAAATCGTTGTTTGTCCATATTCTGCATACTCGTGCTTGTATTGTTTCATATACTTCATTTGGTTTTAGTGCACGAATAGGTGTTGTCATATTTTGTTAATCCTGAAAAAAGTAAATAAGATGTTGTTATAATGATAAATATTTTTATTGAGTTTATTGTTAAAAATGTTGTACTAAAAAAATTTTAATGTTACGAAGAATATAAGATGGTATATATTTTGTATATATTTATTTATGTGATGTTATGTAGGATTTCTTTGTAGACAATATTTTTTATATGA